TAGTTGGCTTATGAACGTTGGCTAATTCAGACTTTTTCAAACTTAATAGAAAATAGTATGCCAAGTTTGATTCCTTAAAGAAAGATTAAAGGCATGCGTCACATTTTTAGCTTTTACTTAAAACCTTATTTGTAGTTTTTTTTCTTTCTAACTTTGCCCAGGCTCTCAAATGTAACATTTTTTTTTGTTAAAAACTTACTGATCAAGCTCATCTTCACTTTTAAAGTGTTAAAGAAAGTAATATAAAAGCCTGATCAAATAGACCTTGTTTTATACATGGTCATAAAATCTAAAATAAACCTTTAGAATGCGAGTTTATCCGCGAATAGAAAACTCTTTCTACTCTTGATATGTGAATGATGATTCATCCCCGATTTATGTAGGTTTTTCTCACCTCGTTACGTAAAGACTGATTCATGAAGGTTTTTCTCGCCTTGTTTTGTAAAGACTGATTCAATCTTCATAAAAATAAAAAAATTTATGTAAGCTTAATGCGAACTCAATAGTGCGTAATTAGTTCGGCTAAATTTAACATTGTTTCAAGCTTGCATGGATTATTTGCTAATCTTTGATAAACCTTATTGGGCTTTATGAAGAAGGTAGGTTCTGATATTAAAATCAATCCATCACTAGAAAAGGGGACCAGGCGTCTTTGAATCACGAGGACAGCTCTAAAATTCGAATAGTTGTCCAACTTTTAAACTCTATGAGGATTTAAAATGTTCTCAAATCTTAATGTATGCCCTCAAAAATCTGCAAAGATGCCTTTAAACAACTCATATTTTTTATTTGCTGTGAAATATCAAGAACACCAAGCTAAAGCTAACTGATGAAAAATCCATACTCACCAGAAAATATAATATCATCACAAAATAAACAAATCTTAACAATCATGTATTCATGCATTTTGCATGTGTTAAGCAAGTGCAGATTATCATATGATATGCAAAACTACTTAGTAATGAAAACACCTGATATTAGTTATCCTTTTTCCAAAAAAAAGTTGGCGTGCTGGGTTACCAGTTCATTAATGGGAATAATATAAATTGATATTTTTCATAAATGTATGGGTGTCCTCAAATCGCATAATTTTTTGAGGACGCTCCGCTGATTTGTTCTCAATTCAAGGTTTAAAAATCTGATAACCTTACCTTACACTGCTATCTGGGAAACTGTTACCCGTCTGCCGCAACTCTCTAAACGTCATTTAGGTATGGTAACTCTACTTCACTAATTCAGTTCATCAGCAAAATATATAGAACTGCCAACAATAAAAAATTATTTTTATCATCGTCAGCGAGTAACTGATACACTTATACAATGCTGCATCTGACTGATACATTTATATAATGCTGCATACACTGGAATGCAACGTTGGCCATCCACTGGACAAGCTTCAGCTACTTGTTCAGTCCTGTATTAGCAAGCTTTTTAAAATGCATGTTTGTGTATGTGTGTTAAAGCCAGAAAATAGTCAAGTAGATTTATTAGAAATAATTTTTTCATAGTTTCACGATAAGTATCATATTTAAATGTACGTAATTTGTATCTGATTTACATAGATCTTTAATTATAGAGTCTCTGAAGTTTGTTTGTTTTTAAATATTCTCTTAATTTTTCAAGTTTTGATTTTGTCGACATTCTGGGATAAAGAGAAATATAGAATATTCACATACGTTGTTGTTCTCTCTTTCTTTCTTCTAAAGTAGTACGTTCATTAAAAAAATATTTTCTGAGAATTTTTATTTTAAAAACTTTTGTGAGTTTAAAAAAAGGAGAAAAATTATTTATTAATTTTCCCCCCTCATATTTCATACAAAAAAGTAAAGTTTTCCCGCAACAACCCAATGGGAGTCAGACAGTCATGGAGGTTAAGACTCCACAATCTCCTGATCGGCTGTCATGAAGGTGACAAGGTGGTCAGTAATGTGCACTGACCACTTTCACTTCCAAGACAAACTGGTATCTATCGATCTGAAAGCTGAGTGGGCTTCAAGTCGCTGCCAAGGATCCAACCCTTGTCCTTCAAAATTACAGAATAGTACCTCAATCAATGATCGAAAGCAGTTTAAATTTCATAAAAATACAATAAAATAATTCCAAATACACTGCATAAAAGTCTGGATCAAATTACGGTATAAAGTACTTTACTATCGTACTTAATGATTTTTATCACGGTATAAACTACTTTACAGACACTTCGGGTGCATCATCCGTAAAATACATTGTACCATAAAATACATTTTTACCATAAAATATTACTGCCGTAATTTGACTACAATATTTCTTTAATTAAAGCGATTCAGTTATTTTACGGTTAATATTGCTGTAAAAATTACAGTATATCAAATTGTTTGTTTCGTAATATGCTCCGGTAAAAGTGGATTTGGTGGTAAAACGTATCGGCATCCTGAGTACCGGTACATTTTACAGTATAACCCTTCAAAATGATAGCTCAGTGCCTTCATTATTGAGCAATCATGAATTAAATTTCATAGAAATACAATCTAATAATTCCAAATGGCTCATATGAAACATATTTAAAATTTAAAAACAATTTTTTTTATAGTAATTCGATTTTGTAAAATTTTGATTGGATAACAGGATACAGAATTCATGATAAGATAAATAATGATTGTTTATTTAAATTATTGCAATAAAATACTCAGTATTTCTTTAAAAAAATTAGCACAATATACTTAATTTGGTAATGATCGGATTTTTTTTAAATGATGTAATATCTTTTTATTTGCCTTCGTTGAGATGTAACAAATCATGTAAAATGTTACAACGTTAAAAATTATCATCACAGCGAATGCAGAAATGCGTTAAATACAAATTTTCTTACAGATATTTTCCTCTATTTCAGTAAAGCTTACTAAATCATATAGAATTATATAATGTCGAAATATATTATTTCACAGCAAGCGAAATATCTGCCAACTATTACGAGTAATATGTAAGATTTTGTTTTTATATTCAAAGTGATCGTAAAATTAATACTTACTCTCACATCTTCATTTTGTAAATTTAATTTAAAATGAATTTGATCACCAATACACATAAAGAAAATAAACTTAAATGCATGACATGTTTTTAACAATATAAATGTACGACAAACATACGTAAGTGTGTTTAGATTTTGGCAAAATGAAGAAAATATATATATTTCTATTTACAACTATAATTAACTTATCATCTAATCACCACTTGGGAAAATCATATCATCAAAAAAAAGTAAAAATTGTATGCATGAACTGCATGCAATTCGAATGAAAATAGTAAAAATTTTTTTCAAGCGGCTAGTAATGTTTTTTATTTCCTGAAAATAATGATAAAGAGTATTATGAGGGCAAAAAATATTATTGATTAGAAAATACACTAAATATAATTCAAATAAAATTACTCTTAATAAAACTTTTTACGCAGATATTTTATTTTCATTTCATGAAGGCTTAGCAAATTAGAGTGTTATGAAAATAGCAAAAATAGAGTGTTTTGACTTCGCAAAATATCATTGCTCGCGAAGCAGCAGTACATTTAATTCAAATGGAAATATTTTGATTAAATCTTTTCACGTAGACAGTTTCCTAATTATTTGCTGAAAGCAATCACAAAGAATGACATCAGGGGGAAAGAATATTATTCTCATTGGGTAGAAATAAATGTCATTCAAATGAAATTAGTCTAAATTATACTTTTAACTTAGGCACATTATTTCCATTTTAGGAAAGCTTAACAAATCTTATAGAAAGTTTCGATACCGCAAAACATCATTGCTTGGAAAGCAGCACCACCAGCGATTCAAATGGAAATATTTAGAAAAAAAACTTCTCTCTAGTTTATTTTTTATTTGCGGAAAGCAATCATAAAGAATGCCATGAGGTGCAAAAAATATTATTGTTCGGTGAGTTATCAATTGTGTTATTAATATAAAAAATATTCTGTGCAATACTTCTCACTCAGAAATTTTGTTTTCAATTAAGAAAATCTTAACAAACCATATAAAATGTTTTGATGTCGCAAAATAGCATTGCTCGGAAAGCAGCATAGCATGTAATTAACATGGAAATACTTTTAATATATTTCTAACGCAGCTAGTTTTTTTTTATCTGAGAAAGAAACTAATAAAAAATTTTATAAAAGCAAAAATTTTAATAGCTATTTTGGTAAGCTAGCAATTACGTATTTTATATAAAAATACTCTGAATAATACTTTACAAGCCGATATTTTTTTTATTTTTTCAAAGCAATAAAGAAAAGAATGCTATTAGGGCAAAAATATTACTGTGCAAAGAGTAGCACTGTAAGTAAATCAAATAAAAATACTTTTTACGCAAATTTTTTTTATTCCAGGGAAGCTTAACAAATCATGTAGAATGTTATGACGCCACAAAATAAAATTTCAAGACAAACAACGCGTTTTATTCAAACAAAAATATTTTGAATAATTTTTTTTACACAGATAAAGCTTTTTATTCAACTTAAGAAAGCTTAACGAATCATAAAATAGTTTGACAGCACAAAGTAGTATTACATGTAATGCAGCAATGCTATTAATTTAAATAAAAAATAATTTGAATAAAACTTTTCATATAAATAAATCTTTTTAATAACAAGAAAGCTTAATAAATCATAAAAAATGATTTGATATCACAAATTATTGCATGAAATGTAGCAATACTTTTAGTTTAAATAATAATATTTTAAACAAAACTTGTCATATAAATAATTCTTCTCTTTAATAATCAAATAAAGGTTATAATTTTAATTATATTTATTAATAAAGTCTGATAATGCGAATGCTTCAGTGGCAAAAGCAATTAAAATAAACAAAACTATTTTTCTTAAAACAAAACATCATAACATTCTCCGCCGGTAAATATTTACGCAATTGCCTTAAAATAATAAACAAGGGGAAATCTGTGATAACTGAAGCACTTGAGATCGCAAACGATAATAAAACTCTTCCATCCTTACATCCGTAATTTGCAAACGATTATAAAAGATCAAAACACTGATTCCCTTACAACATCGAAATCGTTTGAAGATTATTTTACTGTCAGTAAAAGCTGTTCATAAAAACTATCCGAGTAATTTACGCAGAGGAAAAAAAATCGCCATTTGCAGCTGCGTAGGCAGACAGATTAAATACCATCAGCAAAGAGAGAGACCTACATCGAAAAGATGATCTACGCGAGGGTCCACTTCAAATTTAAAAAAGATTCGAACTGTTGCTTTAGTTCTAAATAGAGGACAGAGAGAGTTAAATGCTCTCTGGAATTGGATGGTGTCAGATTTCGAACGGATATCACGTGTCGGCTGGGAGACTTGAATCTGAGCAAGTGGATGTGACCTTATGTAACACCGAATGGCAATCGAGAGTGGCGAACGTAAAAAACCCGCGAAATCGCGGAAGGAAGACAAAGAGGAAAACAACTGCGAGGTTAGTGATTGTTTTTATTTTAATCATGTAACTAATGATTAACTAAGGATTAGAGGTGACTAATGTTAACAGATCGTAGACCGATTAAAAAAATGTTAAGTAATATCGTATGTTAATATATTGTATGCTATTGTATTATACTGCTTAAATGTAGAAATCTGTCATTCTGCAAATTATCTAATGTGCTGAATCAGTAGGATGGTCTGTTTAATTGCAAAAAATTGCCTTATTTCTCTAACTACCTTGATTACCTGCACATAACCGACTAGGCATAAAGTGAAAATAAGATCTTTGGAACAACAGCTAAGTTTTTGCATAGTGCGCAAAGAAAAAAAACCTTTGATCAAATGATCGGATCTCTAGGTATAGGACTGACTCTTAATGGTTCGATGAGGTGACCTCAAATATGCTAATTAATTAGTGCAGACGATATTTTAAGTTGTGAAATCAGCCACAAAAAAGTACTTTTTCTGAATAAATATACCTTTTTTCTCTATGCATTCGAACTTCTGACTCCTAAAGAAAAGGGGGTTGCTACAATCTAGAAAATATGATCCCAATAGTTTTATCAAGGGAGCGGCCAAAAATTTAGACCCCTTATTGTTCATTTTAACAAACCATTTTCCAAAGATAATCAAAATTAGCATTCTTGAGGTCATCTTCTCGAACTATTAAGATTGAATTCTAGATCGTGAAGAACCGTTAGAAAATATTCCAAATAGTCTGTTTTTTTCTTTACGCACTACATGTTTAAAATTAAAATAATGTTATTCTTTTCCCGTTATCTATATCAATAAATTACTACGATCGAACAATCTACAGATTAGTTGATAGCATCAATCACTTTAAAAACTATAATGCGAAGAATCATCCGAATATCATTAGAATTCAGGAATTTAACATAATGTCACTTATTACTCGAATCAAGTCAGTATATTCAGTCCAGCAAACAGCATATTAGTTTATAGAAGGAACGAAACAAATTTAAGATATTTAACGAAACGGAAAATATTAATGCGAACCTTTTTCGAAGCGAATAGCGGAAAATTTTTGATTCCGCATTTCAACAGATTTTCTTGGTTAAACTGCAGATTAGCTTGGTAACGATTTTTTACCTATTCAGAGTATTTAGTATTGATCCCACTAAAATATATTTCGAATGTGAATTTTGTCAAAAAGGAAGCATAAAAATACAAATATTAGGAGTTGTAAAATAGTTTTATAGTAAGAAAAATATGCTACTAAAATGTGGCAAATCACTAATGAGGAAAGTGTAATAACCTGCACATTACGGACAAGACATTTGTTGAACAGATAATAAGAACGCTTCACGCTTCAAGGAACATAATTTTCTTTTTATTTATTCTTTCTCGCTGTATAAATAATAAAGTTACTACGATGGAACTATTGAAGCTTTAATTGACAGTATCGATCATCTCTTACTTTATAAACTATATTTTAAAAAAATCGACAGAATATTATTACAATTGAGGAAATAGGCCAAATGTCATTTAATTATTTTTCAATATCTAAATAATCAAGTCAGTAAATACAACATAACAGCCAATCAATTAGTTAATAGAATTAGAGCAGCAATCTTCAGAAATTTAGCGGAACAGAAAATTTTAATGCGGACCTTTTTCTAGGCGAATTGCGGAAAAGCTTTGATTCCTCAATTTGACTTATTGCTCGGGTTAATCTGCAGATTAACTTGGTAATGTATATGTTACCGGCAAAGTATGAAATGCCGGCTATATATATAATGCCTAGGCATTATCCTACACTGATGTTTTTTTAAGGTTCAGTGCCACTGCTCGGTATGCATTTGCCCGGTATACCCTACACTGATGTTTTTTAAGGTTAAGTATCATTGCCCGGTATATATTTGCCCTATACTCCAAACACTGATGTTTCTTCTAATCTATCGTCAGTAAGTATTAAAATATCGATTAAATGTAATTATATCCACGAATGAATTAATATCAAATCGGATGTAATAAATATTTCGGACATTCACCAAAGTGACTATGTGATTGTCAACATCCACCGATGAAAGTCAACAACCACCGATTTCGGTCATTCACAGTAACATGCACATTATTTACATAATAACCTCATCAGGACGTTTATTTCATACTTAGCCTAAATAGCATCTGGTATTATATATAATGCCTAGGCAATGTGTGAAATATGAATCATTTCATACTTTTCCGGCTAGTTTTAGGCATTATATATAATGCCGGATTTCACACTTCGCCGGTAACATATACATTAACTACCTTATACATACACAAAGTATTACATAATGATTCTTTTAAAATATATTTTGAATGTAAACCTTGTCAAAACTGCAGCATAAAGTTATAAGCATTAAAGATTGCAAATTAATTTTATATTAAGAAAAAATGCTATCAAAATGTGTAAAATGTCTATTGAGGAAAGTGGAATGATACTTCATCAGGTTTCGAATAATCACTTTTCCTCTCCAGTGTCTGTCCTTTGAATTCCAAGCATGTTTAGATGTTATCTGTCTCGCCTCCCTCAGTAATATTTCGCTACATTTCAATAGTGTTTTTTTTCTGGCTTAAACATTTATTTGATACCCCTAACATGCATGCATATTTGGACTACGTTTTTATTAAGGATTCTAAAGCAATTTTTAACGTTGAACACTTCAAAACATTTATTTGATACCCCTAACATGCATGCAGATTTGAACTACGCTTTTATTAAGGATTCTAAAACAATATTTAAGGTTGGACACTTCAAAACATTTATTTGATACCCCAAACATGCATGCATACTTGAACTACGATTTTATTAAGGATTCTGAAGCAATTTTTACGGTTGGACACTTCAAAACACCCTGTGTATTTCTTAAATTATCATTCGATAAGGCTAATTATCTTATCAAAATTTCGTTCATCTTAGTATTAAGAGCTTTGAAAATATGATTTAGATATAAAATGTTTAGTGGTCGGTAAGAAAACACGTGAAATTTCGTGTGTAATTAACAAATTTCTGAAACAGATTATCACTGCTTTAGATTTTTAAAAATGATTTTATAAATAAACAAAGTGTAAGAAAGGAAATAATTTCCATGGCTTATTTCTGATAACGTTTAATAATTTTATACAAAAATATTTATTTTGAGTTAACTCTTGGAAGTCCTATCATTTATCTCGTACACCAATCTACGTCACGAAAAGACGTATTTTTCACAATTAGATACCCGCAAGTGACGTCACGACTTGGTAATCGCAGTATTTGTTAAAACAACGCTTCAGCAGCTAATCAGGTTCGACGCACACGTGACGTAGCTTGGAGGTGTTCAATTAAATCTGATCCAAAAACTGATTCAGTGTGATATTAAACCATGCTTAACAGCTGTAACGATAACATGTCATGCACAACCATATGATTCCAGCGGTATTCTTCATCTCAAATTGCAAATAGCTAATTAAGAATTGAATATTGAAAATCTTAGTAACATATTTATTGCCTCTCAACGTTAAGATATTTTTTTTTTACCTATTTTAAATTACATCTTAATGTAGGGCAAAATTAGCGGTTGCCGCCCGCCACAGTGCAACTAAATCTAACTATACTCTGTAGCAAGTTAAGAAAAAACCATTATTCTTACGGAGAGAACCTGTTTGCATCGAAGTGCTCGCCAAATGGATGCCAAGCTCCCAGCACAAATGTATATCAATATAGCCAAGAACACTACCATTGCACAGTCTTCTTTTATCTTGCTTTTCTAAATCGTGTGAAATAAGGATAACAAAACATATTGAATAAAGGCTATTGTTTTGTATGCCATCAAATAAGAGAGTTACATTATTATAAAAAGTTATTTTCTGCACGCATTTAAATGAATGGATGAAAAAATAATAAATATTGTTATTTGAAAACGATTTACTTCTACAGAAATGTAAAACTCTTCCTCTCGCATTTGATTTGTTAAGGGCATGTCAGCATAAGACTCGCCATTTATAGTGGTCCAATCAAATCCAATGCTCTTGCAACGTCCTATAGTTGTTTCTTTTTCAAGAACAAATATTCTCCTTATTTATCGAAATGTGTCGCCAAGCCTAAGATTCCTTTAAGACTACGAAACTATAAAAAAAAATTATTAATAATTCTATGATATATATCATAAAAGATAGCACGAATTAAATTTCTGTCTAACATGTTTAACTTTTAAAAGCTTTTATACTGTTTTGAAAGCATATTTGTATGATTTGATAACGGAATTAAACCCAAATATATGGAGTCGGGAATAATTTCTTAAATCTTATACCGTAACAGTCTTTTCTTCACTTGCAACCTGATATATATCATAAAAGATAGCAGGAATTACATTTTTGTCTGACGTGTTAAACTTTTAAAAGCTTTTATATTTTTCTGAAAGCACATTTGTATTATTTCATATCGGATTTAAGCCCAAATATATGGAGTCGGGAATGATTTCATAAATCTTATACCGTAACAGTTTTTTCTTCACTTGCAACCTGATATATATCATAAAAGATAGCAGGAATTAAATTTCTGTCTGACGTGTTAAACTCTTAAAAGCTTTTCTGAAAGCATATTTGTATAATTTGATATCGGATTTAAACCCAAATATATGGAGTCGGGAATGATTTCATAAATCTTATACAGTAACAGTCTTTTCTTAACTTGCAACGGAGTATAGCGACGGCTAAGAAAAGACCATTCAATCGCCACTCGATTAAAGCTTACTTTTTCGAAAATGCACCCCATGTACATTTTATTATTATTTTTTTAATAAATATGGAATAATTATGAATATTTTGTAATATTTTGAAAATCACTTTATTTCCCTCTCGTTTTTTTTTTTCTTCTTCTTCATTTTAGAAATGATGAAACTTGTAATGTTTACCTTACTTTGAGAACTTCCTCAAAAGAAATGCCTTAGTTAATATCAACAGCTTTTTTAATCACTTAAAATTTTCAATTTTTGAAAAAAATAAACAACTGTTAAAAAAGCTACAATTTGTTACTGACCAGTAGTAAACATTTTTCTAATTCTTCTTTGGTTTAGTAACTTCTGTTTCAAAGTAAATAGCTGCTTTCCTTTCAATAAGGTGTCATTAAGTAGTCAATTTTAGAGATTATTTTACGTAAAGAATTTCGCCTTAAAAGGGACAGTATTATTTATTAGAATTGAGACAAATTTATCGCTTTAAAAAGAGAATAATAAGGTGGGGTAAAACAAATACATGCTGGAAAATATATGACTCTCCTGCAGTTAGGCTGACAAGTAGTTAAGTTTACAAACATAAACTTGAGCTAAGTTGACAATTTCCATGATGCATTTATACAGGGTGTCCGGAAACGATCGCATAAACTCTGCACAGCTAGATTCCTCGTTGGGAGTATATAAAAACTGCCCAAGGAAGCGTTCCTGTACGATCCATAGTTTACGAGAAAAATACGAGAAACAAAGTATGACGTCACTACGGGTGCAAGAAAAAACACTTTATTGAACATATCAACAGCAGTATACAATGCACAATTTAAATCAGATGTTCAAAGTGTTCATTTTAAACATCATCGTCTGGAAAGATATGCAAATACTGTTGCTGATATGTCCAATAAAGTGTTTTTTTTCTTGCACCGGCTGTGATGTCATACTTTGTTTTTCGTATTTTTCTTGTAAACTATGGATCGTACAGGAACGCTTCTTTGGGCAGTTTTTGTATACTCCCAACGAGGAATCTAGCTGTGCAGAGTTTATGCGGTCGTTTCGGGACACCCTGTATAGGAAAAAAAAGAAGGAATGATATCATCTAATATAACTAAAGCAATTTCACTTTTAAAATTTTTAAGGAACATAAGGTACATAATATTGCATCGAAAATCCAAAATCGTATCTTATGGCCAGCAAAACCATGTTTTGGATGTTTTCTCGCTTTATTAAGATCTCACTTTCTCTCTAGAAAAACAAGGGAATTTTTTTAATAAAATTCTAATTAGGCCAGTCTTAATCTATGATCCGGAGACCTGGACAGAGACCTGGCCTAAAAATAGAGAACACAAAATAGCAGTTTTGGAAAGACAGATTCTCATGAGCACTCTTAGCAATATCGAAAAAAATGGCCTTTGTCAAAGACGTTTTCATAGATTTTTTTAAAGAGCTCGATGCCATCAAGTGTATTAAAATTAAAAGAATAAACTGGTCTGCTCGTATTGCCAGAATGGATAGAAAGATCCAACAAATGAAATTTTGTGTGCAAACCGATCACTCGTCAAATTAAAAGGCCGAAACAAGAATGACTCGATTCTGTTGATTCAGATTGGGATAAAAGACTGACAGTCCAGGTCAAAAAATTTGCTGTACTGAAAGTGTTGAACCTAAGCTGACAATGATAAGGTTAATGCACTGCAACAAAAAAAGTCTTCACTACTTTTTCGCGTTTTCAACAAAGAGTTGAAATATCAGTCGTCTCGAGTTGTCCCAAGCGCTGAAGGGTAAACTTTCATGTTTACAATTTTCTGAATGAAAATTCTTTTTTCACATGGACAACGAAAATCTGAAACTGAGCTAAGGGTTAGGTAGAATTAAAATGTTAAAAGCGAATAGTTCATATCAACAGACAATGTGTTTCATCACAGTAATTGTTATTAAAAAGCATAATCAATGTTTAGTTTCTACAAGTTTCTTTATTGCATGTCATATATTTCAATTTAAATTCCTAATAGTACAATTATAGCGCAATTATAGCGCAAAATTGGGAAATTCATAATTGTATTTTTGAAAAAGTTGAGAATCTTTCACAGTAATTATTATTCTTTTTAAAGCATGATTATTCTTTCATTTCTGCAAGTTTTTCTATTGCATTTTGCTTATTGCAATTATTTTTTTTATTTCAATAAAAAAAATTTAATTGATAATTAATAATTTATTGACTAAAAATGTTAATTTTTTTAAGAGGAATTAGTTTTACAGTTTTTAATAATTGATTTACATTCTGAGGGTTTTACTCTAGATTTCAAATGGGCTTATTTTAGCGAACATGGTTTACAAAGCAAACCATATAAGATTGCACAGCAATCCGGGTTTGGGTAGTTTTGTGTTAGGATTCAGGGGGTGGTGCCCACTAGTTTTTATTTGCATTTGGATTGTATTATTCTTTATTGTATTTTTCTTAAAATTTGAATTATTTTAAAATGCCAGCAAATATTCAAACGTTCTCTAAAATGAACTATTAATTTAGTAAATTAAATTATACAGTAATAGTTATAGCTTCATAATGTTTTCTAGATTGAGAGGCATTCATTTTGTATTAATGTATGATTTAAGCTTACGATCGATACTTTTTTCCTTGAGTGGAAATTTAGCTTTGCTTTTAGTAATTAATAGTTATATATGGACCATGATCATTATAACTATTCACCATTATCACCTAATCAGCAAACCGAGTGTTTTATCTAAACCGAGTGTTTTATAGAAAATACGTTAGGCCTTATTTTCTCTATAAATTACATTAGAATTACACCACTTATTTTCTATATTAAACTGTTGACGTTGCATATTTATGAATTAAACTGTTTATTTAGAGTCTGTCTGAGATATTTAACTTCATGACAAAGAAATATTCAAAAAACTACGCACATATTTACCAATTTGTAACAATATAATTATGTCTTTTTAGTGTCTACCATGGTGTCGGAATCATGGTTTTCTGCTTCTGCTCCTCCTGGCTACAGTCTCGGGATATGTTTTGGGTATCCTACTGAAGTCCCAAAATTTATCCAACCAGACCATCCGCCTCATAGGATTTCCGGGACAACTTGTCATCAGAGCATTCTTCATGATAATAGTTCCTCTTCTATTCTGCAGTCTTGTACTAGGTATGTATGAAACATATATGCTTACATTTGTTTCTTGGTACTTCGAATGTTTGTTTGATTTTACAAAAAAAAAAAAAATTTATGTTTTAAGCTTTATACTATTAAAGTGGGAGTTTTTTTAAACCCTCGCCTTGTATCCAATTGGTGGTCTATCAAATGTATTTTCACTATCCCTATACAACTGTAAAAAATTCCGGATCAAATTACTGTATAAAGTACTGGCAATTTGGTTGCATCATCTGTAAAAGCCATCTTAATGTAAAGTCCATTTTTACCGTACTTTTTACAGTATATTTAATTACAATGATTCTGTGATTTTACGGAAATTGTTACAGTGAAAATTGCGGCATAGCATATTTTTTATTCCATAACATGTTCTGGCGAAAATGAATTCTCTGGTGAAGTTCCGACACCCTGAATGCCTGTACTTTTTTCCATTTTACAAACCGTTTTTTTGTTTTTTTAACCGAATTTCATCCTAAAATTTTTACAGTGTAGGTTAAATAACTTTTTACGTGTATCTTTACTTAACTATCATTTGCTGTCTCGACACTGAGGAAGGTTTTTGTTTGTAGAATAGACACTATAGTATGTTCATTTCTGTACTTTAAAATGCGATTTATACACATTTTTTGTTTTTTTATATTTGAATGGCCCACGAGTTTATTTTCCTTGAAACAGACTAGTTTGTCTGTATATGAAATTATATTTTATTACAAATGGTGTTTCCAACAACATGCATTGACTATTTAAACTTCCTGGTTATTTTATCTGATGAGTTGTCCTTGTCGTTATGCAATTTTAATTTCATGTTTAATTTAAAAAAGTAATTTTAAGATGACTTAAAAAAAATTTTAATTTTAAGTCTAATTTCATGTAATTTTAATTTTAAAATCAATTTCATGCAATTTTATTTTTTGAATTAATTTTAATAAGTATCCAGTCTGAAAATGATTTTTTATCATGATCATCATTAGTTTTCATTATTTTTTTTATCAAGCTCATTCTGGCGCTACAGACCTTTGCAGAGTCCTTACCTCTTTTAAGATTTTGGACATTTATTTTTCTTCAGGTTACATTTATTTGTAGTTCGTAATTTGAAGTGATTTCAGTTCCTCATCAATTTGTTTCTTCTATCTTCCTGCAGATCATGACCATCCTTGTTTTCCGTCTAAATAATTCACAATTCTAGCATCCGAAATGAAGATTGAATGTATAATCTTTTAAAAGCCACAAAACGACGAGTTCGTGCACGAATTATACACTTCCGATTTATTTTTAAAAAGATAATTCTGCCGAAAGTAACTGCTGCAAAACGGAACAGGGGAAACGTCGAAAAGCTGGCTATTCTTACGGGTATTTAAATCGTTTTTAGGATCTTATCTCGGCAATATTTTAAGTAAGTCACATGAATTCGGATGCTTTTCAAAGCTTTATATATCAAAAAATTAAAAGGAAATTATTGTATTGAAAATAAAGTATTTATTTTATATTTTTGAGAAATGTTTATTATAAGATCTCTTCACTAATTTAGCTGATATGCGGTTGTTAAGTTTGAAAAATGGAACTTTGGATCAATTTGAACTATTTTAGATTGTAATCTGCGAAATTTTGACAATTCGGAGATAGCTTTTTGTATATTACTGCATTAAGAAAACGATGAAAAATATTAGATAGCTGCCCAATAGTACAATCTATAACGTTCTTACAGTTAATCGACATGCAAATTAATATTTCTACTAAATTTCAAAGAATTGTTGCACCACTTTCTACTTTTATTTTTATCTACTCTTAAAATACTTCCTAAACGTCTTCTCGTAAAAACGATAATCTTATCGCGTTGATTGTCGCCTCGTCTTTCTTCAACAAAAGAGTTAAGTGATTCCAAAATACTCAAATGTTGAGTTGTTTATTTGATGTGAAAGAAATAAGAAATAAACGACTAACTGTTGAAAAATGTTTTGAATATTTTATAGAAATTAACAACATTCGCCTTTATAAAAATTTTAGTTTTGTACTATTCTAAAAGGATTTAGGTCCTTATCACTAAAATTCGATGATTTATGACATTTTGTCTCGGTATTCTTTTTTTCTTTAACAGCTTTTTCAAAGATTTTGGACATTATTTTTATTTATGTGATCATTTCCTATTTTTTGCTACTTAAAACGATTTTTTAATATTATATTTTTCTTTATCATTATTATTATTATAAAGCTAGCTCATTTGGCGTCCAGCCTTTCAAAATTATCCTGCACAGTGTATAAACTTTAAAGGTTGTCAAGCCAAAAGCACAGCACATCTGTATTTAAATATTCTAATTCCTTATTCCTCCTCAACTCCTAACACCTTAATCAATTTTAAACAATATGTTACCCAAGTTTTTGAACCGTTTAGCTGTTGCAAGCTTCTTCTCCCGCTCAAAACTTCTATGTTTTCAGTTTCAACTATTTTCAAACAATGTCTGAGTTTTTAATGTATTAACATTTAGTAATAATTCTAATTCTGTTCAACAGCCATTTAATCTCATAAACCACCGTTAGTATGAGCTCGGGCCAAATTTAGCTGCTGCACTAGAAACAAAATTAACTAGTATCTCACAAGTATAACGCAACTTAAGAATACATGCATTTATAGACATTTTCTAATTGAAGAGTTTGGAACGGCCTCACGGAGAGTCAAAATTCGTAATGGTGCGAGTAAAATGAGAGTGAGAATGATAATCGGTTTGTGTCGTTATTTCACACACCCGACTTAAGATTTGAACGCAGCTCATGTGCTCATCGAGGCAGCTGTAATGTCTACAATCAAACGTGAAACACAATAAAAATAATGATTAGTTTCAGCTAGTTATTGCACAGTACCCCTCAATTCAGAAAGTTACTTTTTTTATTTCCAATGTCTAGACAGAAAGTTTCAAAGAGTTAAAAGTATATGAACACAGAAATTCAATCAGTGGAACTAAAAGCAACATGTCAGCAATCATTGCCTAAACTTACCTGCCCTTACCTCGATTCCTCTGTATCACTACGAAGTTTCCTTACAATTCAGCCGATGTGCCCTATCCATTACTTCTGCAGAGTCAAAAAGTGAACAGGTAGGATCGGTTAAAAAGCCTAGTGGTGCAAATGAGCAAAAAGGAAATCCTGTCTTGTAGACCACGAAAGGCCACAACAGCACTGCATCTTAATTTATTGGAAATAAGAGAAGGACACAAAATCCTCCATCTTTTTAGGGCTGTCCGAGTCCGGAGCTTTCATAAAATATTAGATGTAAATGGTTTTGTTTTACTAACAGTTTATTTCTCCAATGTTGTTGTAAACCGGCTGAATTTTCTGCAAGAAAGTCGGTTTGCTCATTGTCCCAATGACCATAATGGCCAGGCAACCACTGGAGAATAGTTTGTTTCTCCTTTCAAATAAAAGTTTTCAAAAATTCTTGACATTGCAGGATGTCTGGTATTAATGGGTATTTAACAGATCTACTTGACTGGATGATTGCTTGAGAATTATATTTAAATAACAGTTTATCTAATTATTATTTTAAAATGTTCAACCAAAATAGTCAAATAACTATTAAAAAGAAGATGAAATTCAAGGTGTTAACTGTGAGAAAAATCGTTTATTGACTCTTTTCACTTAATACGGTTAAACAACGAGAATTTTATTCACGCCAAGTAGACCTACAACCAATGAGATTCGAGTGAACATTCTACGAAAGCTAGAAGCTAAGTCATGTGATGAGAAATTTGTATTTTTAGTTTCCATCATCAGATACCTAACACAACAGCGGATACTTAATAATCGTATAGGTGTGTAGTGAAATTTGTTATGGAACCACATAGTTTCTTGTAGCAGGGTACATACTTTGAGGACCAATCTGCCAATCTCATAACCGGATGAACAAGTGCCGATTTCTCAGTGTTGAAACCTCAATATTTCCTTCAACACATAAGGAGTTTACAAATAACCCCAGTATTTCTTTTTTTTTAGCAATAGATAGAACTACTTGACAAACTAATTTTAAAATGATAGATAGTTCTCTTTAAAAACACTAGTTATCCACAGCCTTACTCTAATATCTATTGTCTAATGAAAAGCCGAGCATAAATTAATAAATTACATTTTTACTGTTTAGGAACTATGCTAATTAAAAATGGTTACAAAACCGTACTTTGTATTCACGGGTTTTTAACCATTCCAGATATAAATGGTTTCAAACCCGTAAAAGTAAAAAGAAATGTTCCTTATCGTAAACATTACGGTTCGGATGGATTATCTACTTCCGATTATTTTACTGTAATTTTGGAATGGAAATTTTAAGATTGTAGAGAGATTTTTTTTAATGTGAAGATATTTCAACTATCGACTAGTCTGAAAATATTTTATGTTAATGGCTATTACTCGTATTTCCTTAAACTATTTCTAAGTCATAACTCCACAGTATTGCAACTTTTGTCAATAGATTGTTCTGCTTGTTAAGAAAAAAATAATAGACTATTCCAGGTGAAATATTTAAACGGGCTTCTTGTCAGTTGTGGCAGCAGACTATAACGAAATGTCACCGCAAATAACATTTATTTATAATTATATCTGTAGAATTTGAGCGGTGGTGGCTCAGGGGATAGAGCTCTTGCCTCTTAATAGGGTAACTGTGATGCCACAATTGGCATTACATATTTGTTTTCTATCCTTTTAAAATATCTTCCATTACTTAAGCTTTTTTTTATTAATAGAATTATATTTAAAAATAAATCAAAGACCTAATCTTTTAAAACGAACATAAAATATTTATTTCTTCTCCTCTAAATCAACGGATACTTTTTATTTCATTACTAATCCAAAACAAAAATCTATTTATAACTTTTCAGTCTTAAATTTCCAACTGCTAAATGTTTCGGTTGCATGGTTGCAATAATTCTCATAAATTTGTTGGCGACTCGTGATCGCCAAGGCATTTTTTTAAACCCATATTGATATGCTAGTTGGCTTTGTTTTGGCTATGATATATTATGATAAATAGCCAAATTATGGATCTCCTACCCATACTTTCTCTGTCCGTTGAGAATAATTATATTCACTTTTAATTCAAAATTTGTGGAGGCTGGGAGCCCTTTGGGGCCTCCCCAGTCTCAATTTCTAAGCGTCGGAAATGATATTCTGGCTGTATGATCTCTCAATAGAGAGTATTCTGATTTCATCCCTTTAAGGGATTTCTTATTTTTTGATGAGGAAATAGCCATTGTCTAAATCACCAATTATGCTTAATAAAATCTAAATTTACATTTAACGATTTGTACATTATTTCCTGGAAACTTAATTATTCAATTCATTCATTAATGGCCTAAATGAACATTCATGTATTACACTATACGAATATTGGCGGCTACTGACGGAGAAACAAACTTCCGTCATAGTAACCCAGGATCGAATCTCGGCGATGGCTGGTTGATACGAATTGTGCAACAGTCTCGCATCGATCATAGTGCTAAAGTAAAATAGCATCACTTATCTACAGATCATTGCTTGAAGTTCTATTGCCGTCGGGCTAACCTTGGAATGTTTCCGTAGTTTCCCTCTATACGTAACGCAAATGCGAGTTAGTTCCATAAAAAAAATCTCCTGGAATCCCTTCATCCAGGAGTTCCCTTATCTCCTGGATTGGGATCAATATTACGAGGCTACTTATCTGAATGTTGATAGTTGTAAATTCAATATTGGGTCAGCTGTTCCACACCGGTTATAAAATAAAACAATAAATAGTTTATACTATCGTTTGTAGAACTTTCTAATTCATTTTGCTATCCGGTGAGAACCCATACTTGGTTTCCAAAGCAGACTGCAAAAAACCATGCATTTAAAAGGCCTTTCGTTTTTTTTAATTTGAGATTTTTCAAATCATCCCTCATTTTTAGTTCATTAAATAACTCAATAATCACTAATAAAACCAATAACAATTTAATCGTCGTTAATTAAATAACTCAATTAATTATCTTCACAGTTGTTGTTAAACAAATAAAATCACTATGAGCATTAATAGTTTTAATAAACTGTTTCTTTTTTCCGTAATGCATTGGAATGTTTTTCTCCATAGGTGTGTCGAGTTTACGTAAAGGTGGTGATGCAAGAATGGTGGCCGTGACGATAGCTTTTTTCCTGGGATTGTCATCTTTAGCTGCCATAATGGGTGCCGGTGCAGGACATATCGTTCACCCAGGACAAAAAATCACATCCAGCAGCATACAGGTACAAACTTCCATGTCAGGAAGAAAAGGCGTCATTCTTGATTCTATGATGGATTTACTATGGTAAGATATGAAACTTCTAATAACATACGACTATTTTTTCCATTTATTGTTGTTATACCCATACACAGTGTACAGAGGAAATGGAACAACTTTAAATACCTTTTCATCTAAAAATCGGATTTTCACGTAATAAGTCTCAATCTTAATGGTTTGAGGGACTGTCCTAAAATATGCTAATTAGCTAGTGCTGAGGATATTTTAAATTACGAATTCAGACAAAAAAACGCATTTTCTCTGAAAAAAAATACTTTTTTTGAAGATGGATTTGGATTCCTGACCATCAAAATTGGGAGGGGGGAGCCACAATCTGGGAAATATGATTCCAATAGATTGCTAAGGAGAGCGGTCAAAGTTTGGACACCTTACTTTTTGCATATTTCGTCTTATCTCGAGAACTTTTTAGCGAATATAAAAATCTTTCACTTAATTATAAATTTCATTTTTTCGGAGATAATTTAACGTAAAAGGTTCTTATTATTTTATTTGAAAATAGTGAAATAAAATTTGATTTGCAAGGTACACAAATTTTTACATCATTTTAAATAATATAATTTCATATGTCAAAATATAGAATTTGAATTAAATCGGTAGAAATTTTCCTGTTAAAAAGAATTTTAAATAAATTATTTTTTAAAAATTCTATTTCTCCCGAACTTTTCGACCAATTTTGTTCCTTTTTTGTATTTTGCAAAATAAAATTTCATTTTTTAAAGTAGTTTAAAATTTGTATACCTTAAAATTCAAATTTTTTTCCGAGTTTTTTTGGATAAAATTATGAAAAATAATACAGATTATTATTAAAATTTGTTTTATGTGAGGATAATCGAATTTTGTAATTAAGTACAAAAATTTAAATAAATAAAAAAGTCTCCAGATATGGTGAAATACGCAAAAAATAAATTAACTATAAGGTGTTCAAATTTTGAACCGTTTTCCTGACCAAACTATTGGGGCCATATTTTCCAATTTGCTGCTATTTTGAGCCTTGTTGGTTCAGGGGATAGAGCGTTCGCCTCTTAATGGGGTGATAATTAGGCTCGAATATCAGCGATGGCTGTTTGATACGAATTCCGCACCCGGCTCTCACCAACTACAGTGCTGAAGTAAATAATATCCTAAGTGGTAGACAGATCATGGCTGAGTCACCTTGAACTAACCGTCGGAGATTTTCGGGTTTTCCTCTGCATGTAACGTAAATGCGGGTTTGTTCCTTAAAAATGTCCTTCACGAACGCAAAATTTCTCCCGATACTTGATTTTAGAGTTCTCTTGCCCTCAGGATTGGGTTCAAAACTAAAAGACTACGAAGTTGAGCTTTGGTAGCTGTAAACTCAAAATTGAGTCAGCTGTTCAACGACAGTTATAAAATAGAAAAAAATAAAAATTGGAGATTAGGATTCATAATTCGAAAAAAAATATTTGTTTATTCAGAAAAAGTATGTTTTTGTATCATATTCAATGATTTAAAATATTATGACAGTCATTATATTACTTGAAAGTTCTTTCATTAGAAGTTATTCAGGGTGTTTGCTTGAGTGCTTGTGCTTAGATGAAAAAAGTCCTCTAAACTTAACTATTGCACGAACTTTAGGGACGCAGGCTAGAGGGATAGAGGCCGTTGTATTGTTGCACATTGCAAGAAGCAATGAAAGCATTTACAATGGTAAATTAAATTATAATACAGATTTTTAACTTTTTTAATGTCATTTTTCTAGTGTTTAGAATAGATATTTTGAATACGATTTTGATCATATTGCTTCAATCATATTGTTTACCTCTTAACCTGGAAATGATTTGGTCGATATGACTTTCTTTGAAACTAGTCTCGCGAGCTCTATCGACATCTGTTACGAGTATTTTTTAATTACAGTTCACTGTATTTATATTCAGTAGTCACTGTTCTGAGGCAAGATTTTGATTTCTTGTCAACAAATAAAGTCTAAAATAGTAAAATTGCTCTTTCGGGATAGGTTTAGCACTGCAGAAAAGGAGATAATAAGATTCTACTCTAATTGTAGAAAGCATATAGAAAGCAACACGTTTTTTTTTTTTTTTTTTTTTTTTTCAGAGCACGGCGAAATGGCAATAATGTAGCCCAAATGGTTTCAGCTCCACACTATGGTATAAAGCTTAACTACTGGTTAGATTGATAAGTTTATCAATTTCTTTCACTATTTTTAATTGAATTTATGAAGTTCGTTTGATTATTTCTATTATTTTAGTTTTATAAAAATTCTAGATTTTAGTTCGTTAAGAAAGTCATGTTAACATTTTGCAAAATCATGGTAATTTAATTGAAATACTTTACTTTCTCCATACTCTTTCGTTCTTAAACTTATTTTAAAGTTCAATAAAATAGATATTTGCACTGCATGTACCATTCATCTGTTTAAACTATTAGAAAAGTGATTCATAAATTCGAAAAAGCGTTACTTAATGTGTATTTTTCCTTCTTTCTGTTTATCATATGACAAAATGAAATAAACAGGTGTAAATAAAATAAATGATAGTAGCGCTTTTTACGAATAATCTAACTAAAATCTCAGAAAAGGGGTTTTGAATTAAATAGAAAAGTTTGCATCTTTACAAATGCGCAGCGTGAAAAAAAAATTCAAAATGCTAGCTGAAATTCTTACAATCCAGTATTGATTCAAAAACTTTCATTGAAATAAAACAACTTTAAAAGTATAAATCAGTGTTCGTTCGTGTTATATAATATATTCGCACAGAAGTAAACATAAATATGATAGACACTTAGATATGCCATCGTAATTTTAAAAAAAAATTCTGAATCACATGGTGAATTAAAAACGTAATCGACTTAATTTGTTTTAACTAATGCATTTTTTATATCATTATTGAATTTTTTACTAATATATTTTTTATACATAATATAAAATTAGGTGTTGCAGTGCTCATTACTAATTTAAATTGAAATAATATATATTTTTAATGAATCCCTTTCTTCTATTTCCCATTTATATTATATTATAGTATTATAAAAATAATGAAGCAAGGACAGGATTTTAAGTTTTCCAGGAAATTCGGAAAAAGTTGGTGCTGCCATCTACTTAATACAAGACTAACTAAAATATCTTCCATAGACTCGAAATAACTTTTCTCTAATTTAAATTTTTTTTTTCGCCTCTTATCTAAAGAAAAAAGAGGAAAATAGAAAAATGTGCCATTTGCACCTAAAAATATACTATACTGATAATTTAAAAAATACTTCAGTCAAAAGTCAAAATGAATGTCTGCAGCGTTTCATGATTTAATAACGACTACATAATAAGACGTTTGATTAGATGTGTAAACGTATATGTACTTAGTTTCAACATCCTATGGCATTTGGAATTCCGTTTTTTTTTTTCAGATTTTTTTAAAAAACATTATGATTTGTTTTGTTTTTTCACTTCCATAATTAAATATGAACTAAAAACAAGCATATAAATATAAACTTGACAATTTTATTTGAGAATTATCCCAAATGTGTTTGAATTATGAATAAAATAGATTAAGTTTGAAACAAATGTAAATAACTAGCTATTATTTTTTTTGTTATTTATTACTTGTTAAAAAAAAAGAATTGTGTCTACAGTGCAAACATAAAGGAAAAATACGAATATGAAAAATTGCCACTTATGATTAGAAAATTTTGAATATATACATACATTCTTCAATCGACACTACTGCTGAACTAAAACATATTCCACTCGGCTATGTTCTAATTATAGTGTTTGTAATTAAAATAGGTGTTTGAAGATTATTTAAGCTCCCACTCCCTACCCTCCACTTTCCACAAATTTTAAATTACCCTCCTAGGCTATTTTATGTGTTCATTTACCACAGTAATTCTCACAGAAAAATTTGAAGCCTTTGAAGAATAAGAAAGGTAAAGTAAGAGACAATCTCCGAGTATTATTTTTTTTCAAAGAAAAGCAAGCTAAAAAAGAATAATAATAATAATATTTGATAAAAAAAACTTGAAAGATTGTTTTTTTAATACTTCAAATGAGAGAAAATAAACATTTAAAGGTGTTTTTTTTTTACTGAAAGATATTTATTTTTTTAAGAAAAATAATAGTAAAATTTAAAATCACTAAAAATCTCATAAGTATGCAACCCCCTCCCCTCCAAATAAAAGATGTTAATATCTCTGAAGTCGAATATCATGCGAATTTTAACTACATAACTAGGCGGCATTGGAAAACTTTTACTAAGATGAAGGAATGAAATTAAAAATTAAAGTAATATAATGAATCAATAGCTAAATTAATCTGAAATGAACTTTTCATTAAAACCAGTGTTTAAAGAAACAACCTTTTCATGAAAAAATAAAATAAAAGAACAGTATCCTTAAGGTATGGTGGCTTATTTATGAAAAATGCGCAAGGAGGGCGCATTCATCTAAGGGTAGAGTGGACAGGCTGCCCCTCTAAAAACGCTTCCGGAGAGCTTTTCCCGGAGAATATTAAAAGTTAAAAATATTGACAAATCTTCATTTTTAATGCAATCTTTTTTTAAAAGAAATCTCCGGTTGGTAGATTATTATCACGCGACACAATTAGTGTAATTATTGAAATTCAAAAGAAAATTATGGAGCTGCTTATGTATCCAAAAAAGCTTATTGAATAGCATGAAGAGCGTGAAGTTCCTTTTTAAACTTTAAATTAATCCTTGCACTTTAAAAAAAATATATATAATTTTATTTTAATAAATGACTTTGAATTCGCTGAATGGCTCAAAACAAATTGGACATAAATTTATATAATTGCTTAAGTAATGTTTTTTTTTCTTGATTTTTTTCGGGTTCTTTTCCGTGCTTTTTTCCAGAGCTTCCTTTCGATGCTCTTTTTTCCAGTAAATATTTGCTATTGTGGATACTTTCAAAATGGGCACAACACTGAAGTATCGCTAAAGAATATAGAGGAATATAGAAGATGTAGAATATACTCTCTTCCATATTCCTTAGATTAAGGATGTATTTTCCATACGTATGGCTTTTATGTGTGCTGCATTTTGAACTAAATATTTCTTTACAGCATATATACACTATCTAGCCATTAATGACCGGACACCCCTTGAACGGCAGGTGGACTCGTCCTGGTGGAATAAATACGGAACCTGTGTTGGGGGAAAGACCACTCGCAAGCAGGCGACGGCCATACGAGCGTTAACAGTGAAAATGAGTGGACGACGAGAGCTGAATGAGGCGGAAAGGGGCATGATCATAGGCGCCCACCGATTTGGTCATTCCAAACGTGCCATCTCCGACAAGTTTCAGATACATAGGTCAACAGTTGGTAGACGTCGTGTTGAAATGGGAACGAGAGGGAGTGAAAAACCGCAGTCCCGACCCGGCAAGCCCAAAATAATGTCCGACAGGGATCGACGATCTCTTCCACGTGTAGTGAAGGCAAACCAACAAATGTCGTTGGACTCTGTCGCTACCAACTTCCGGGCTATATCTGGCAGTGTTGCCAGTGCACGTACCATTCGTCGGGAGCTGATTGCACAAGGATTCCGTGGACGAGCAGCAGCACATAAGCCAAACATCTCTCCATCAAACGCCCGCCACCGATTTCAGTGGTGCAGAGCACGTCGCCAGTGGACAGAAGAGCAATGGAAAAGCGTTATGTGGAGTGATGAGTCATGCTACATGTTGTGGCACTCTGATGGACGAGTGTGAACCTGGCGAATGCCCGGAAAATGGTACCTACCGTTGTGCATTGTCCCCATTGTGAAGTTCGGCGGTGGAGGAATTATGGTTTGGTCCTGTTTCTCATGGTTTTGCCTTGGAGCCTTGGTGTTAGTGCGTGGAACCCTGAACGCAGAAGGGTATAGAGACATCCTGGACAATTCGGCTCTTCCCACCCTGTTGCAACAGTTCGGTAATGGCCCGTTTGTGTTTCAACACGATAACACTGCCATTCATAAAGCACATGCCATCACGGACTGGTTTGATGAAATGGAGGTGCAAGAGCTTGACTGGCCATCCCAAAGTCCCGACATCAATCCAATTGAGCATCTCTGGGATGAGTTGGAGCGCTGGTTGAGGGCCAGACCACAATGCCTCAAAACCACCACTCAACTCTTCGCCATGTTACAGGAGGAATAGCGGGCAATACCTGCCGCCGTGTATCAACACCTAGTGGATAGCCTTCCTAGAAGGGTTAAAGCTGTGGTTTAGGCACGTGGCGGCCCTACGCCCTACTGACTTGATACTAGCACCTCATGTATCCGAAATGAGGGATGTCCGGTCATTAATGGCCAGATAGTGTATGTTGTGACTCAATTTGACTGCCTTCTTAGTTAGTGATATGTTTATTCAATGTAACAAACAGCATAAATGAAATATAAATGATTGAAGAAGTATATCTAAAAAAAAATTTAAAAAAACGGTGGGAATTAGAAGCAAATGGTTTGCATAATTTAAATCAGCACCTTTTACTTACCTTAAAAAATTTATCTGATACATAGATATCCACAATGCATCTGTTTTTAAAGTTTTCGCAACACCTAAAAAATATAACATGCTTATCCGATCTTTATTCATATCTTTGAATTATTTCAAAACTGTTGGACCGAAATCATTTGAAAACAAGTGTTATTATTCATTACTTTTACTACTTTAACTATCTAGGGAAATTACCTGGCTTTCACTGAAAAAGTTGATTGCTTTGTTGGTACTGTTAGCTTCAAGTACATAACATTAATTTATTCATTTAACTTAGCATTTTTTTTTCTGAGAGAAAAATACTTTTAAAAATTTTCATGATGTGGCTATTTTATTTAAATTTGATTCTCAATTATTTAAATTTTTTATCATCTTCATTAGGGATTTTCTAACTTTCCATTGAAAATGAATAAACATTTTAAAGTGCAATTCATATTTCCCAATTTACTATTGTTATTTTTTTAAATTACAGGAATGCAATACCAAGCAATATTATCGAAGCCACTTTTACAAAGGTAATGTATAAAAAAATCTGATGTATATCTGTAAGAGCGAAATAAACTCAAGCATTTTATTATTTTTTTTAAATTTATGAATAACTTATTCAATTTTTATTTATATAAAAATAGAAAGAAAACACGCATGAAACTCATTAGGTATATATTTATAAAATATTTCATATTTCAAACTGTGTATGTTTGTGTACAAATTTTTGCAACAAATAAAGGGAAAAGAATTTATGTAATTGAAGCTTTTGCTTATGAAGTAAAATCTAGACTATCTTATTGAGCAATATTTGCTTTCCTTCTAATTTAATTCGTATTCTATTCATTATTGTTCTTTTCGTCTCTTATTCTGCCTAACGATTCATGCAATACTCTGTCTCAAAATATTTTGTCGAAGCGAATATTCTGTATTCTGTGTCCTATAAAATTTAATGCGTGTAATTTCTATCCCACGGTATTTTGTCCGTGTGTCCTGCCTCGTGATATTTTGTTCATGCAAGACTCCGTCTCACAATATTTTGTTCTCGAGATATTTCGAGTATTTATTATGTTTCATCATCCCAAGAATCTGCCTCACAATATTTTGTTCATGAGGTATTTTGTGTTTTATTATTATGTTTCGTCATCATTAAGTTCTGTCTCAAATATTATTTTTTTCATTAGATTTTTTAGTTTTATTATATTTTTTCACCATGAGATTCTGCCTCACAATATTTTAGCCACGAGATAATTCGTGTTTTAATAAGGTTCGTCATTTAGAGATTCAGCCTAACTATATTTTGTTCATGCGATATTTCGAGTTTTATTATGTTTCGTGAGATTTTGTATATATATAATACAATATTTTCTATTCCACAATGTTTTCTATTTGCTAGTATTTGCTTCATGATAATTCGTCCACGGATCACTGAATGCCCTTCTCTTAAATTTTTGGCGTGGTGGTTGGATAACCAATTTATTGTGTCAATTCTATTCTTCAACTAGTCGGGAGATTCTCCAAATCCCGGCCAAAGCATTAATCTTACATTTGACCTATTAAGATATAGAGTGATTTCAGAATATGAAAAGATTTTTTGTTTATGTTTGTGTAGGAGTATACTCATGTGGAAATATTAAACTCAACTGATGATCAAGAAGGAAGAGGTTCCAACTCAAATGTCATTTACAAGAAGAGTATTCAAAGACGAAATGGTGTCAACTTTATGGGTAGGTAGGAGAAATTAACGAACGACTTTTCATCCAGAGACAATGTTATTAAAATGATAGTTTTTTAATGGGTAGCTCAATGACTTATTGAATGATTTTTTTACTTAACTAATACCTTAATACTTGAGCCAGATAAGTATCAAAAAACGGCTATGAGGTTTTGAAGAGTCGACCTCAAACTAGTTCAGCCAACAGAGTTCCCAAAACATTGTGAAACTATATGAAAAAGACGTTAAATATTATTTTTTAAAAGAAGAATGTAGCATTTTTGCCAGTAAATTTTAACTAATCATTCTCGTGAAGTTGTTAAAAATTTATTCCTATACTTCTTTATTTTTAAATAGCAGCAAATAATGTAAAATAAAAGAGCAATATTTTGATGAAAACTAATCCCAAATGAATGAATCTATGTTATGATGTTTGTAGAGATTAATTACTGATTTACTACAATTGGAATCATTACATATAACATTCTAGTCTTAGAATTTGCTATTTAATTTTTTTTTTAATTAATCTTGTTCATTTATTTATTTGTAGTAATTTCGTTATTGATGTTTTGTTAGCAGCTTTTAAAAAGTTTATTTTTTACTTTTTCAAAAAAAAAAAATATGCATTTATTATGATTGAAAACTGCAAAATGATGATTATGAACTATCTTTCAAGGTTTGTTATGCTTTAGCATTTTGTTTGGCTGTGCTCTGGCATCGCTTGGCGATAAAGGAGAGGCATTGCATCAAGTGATCGAACAACTCAACGCAATTGTCATGAAGATCATGCTATATTTCTTGAAGTAAGTAAGTTACATAAAATCTTCTTGCTTTTAGCTCCTGACCTAAGATATTCAGAGAAAGTGCTGCCGTTAAAAAGAAGGATTGGAAAAAAAATAATTACTGAAATATTTATTACTGAGCAATGGCCAGTAACCTTAAGTAAAATTGATAATAGTTGGATTCACTAAAGTAATGACCCTCCAGGGGTGTATTGGCCTCTATCAGGTCATGTAAGTTTTTAAGGTTAGGAGCAATTGGGATCTTATAAAATTCTGAATCTTTGCCCGGTATTTCCTACATTGATGTTCTTTAATGGTAGATTTTACACGCGTTCAAAAAGAGTGCAGCACTTTCTTGAAACTTCGCTTGTGACAGAGAACAGACTCAAGTCCAAAATCTTAGCTTAACCAAAAATAGTTTTGCCTCGATAATTTGTAAGAGATAGTCTCCTATCATATACCCATTTAACATTTCAGACTTTTGCCCATCGGAATGTTTTTCTGGATGTTCAGAGAAGGGTTGGTGAGTGTTGCACCCGTTCAACTGTTGGAGTACATGGGCGTATTCCTGGCGACCGCCATGGGAATCATTTTATTTCACCAATTCATCCTTCTTCCGGGATTGTACTTGATTATAGTGAGAAAAAATCCAATTCCTTATCACCTGAATCTCCTTCCAGCCATCTTAACTGCTTTTGGTACAGCATCTAGGTAAGAAACAACTCATTTATTTCGAACTCTATCAAAAAGTTTTTATACAATTGTTAAATCTGAAATTTTTGCCATGCATAAAAGAAGTTGCATACTATCCTGGCTTAATTTTAAAAAAAAATTCTTCTAAATTTGTCTTTCATTTGTTAAAAATATTAACCGTTATTTTTGAAAGACGAATTAAGTTCGTTTAAAAACAAAAAAGTCGTTTATTTATTTACTTATTTATTTGCAATTTTGATAATCATTGTTGCTTTGAAATCTTTTATCAAATTATGTACCGTAAACCGGGGCGAGTCTACCCATTTTAGTTTTATTTAATTTTCACTATTTTAAATTGCAAATAAAAAAAATTTTACCGACGGAGGACTTAGTTCAGACTCTAAGGAAGATGGCGATGTAGTAGTTTGATTCGTTTTTATTTATTTGGTGTCTTTTTAACCGACCTGTTCAAACGTCTATTGAGAGATTTGTATTGAAAATCAGCAAACTTTTAGTTGGTGCTCCGTAAGTATATTATTATTATTACTATTTTCACTTTGGTTAAGTGATAAACTTATCTAAGACTAAGATTACATTAATTTTATATGAAAAAAAACAAAAAGAATGTAAGTTTTGAATCCCACGGACAAT